GTCCTGGGAGATGCAGGGGCCCCCAGCTCATTGCAGGGGTGCGGCATGAGCGGCCCCGGACCCCCGCGCAGGGCTGGCTCCTGCCGTCGCGCTATCACCTGGTGCGTCTTGACATACTTAGCTTTGTCGGCCTCCAGCCTCTCCACCGCGCTGGGGGTCCGTGCCCTGGATGGGGTGGAGGGAGAGGCTAGGAGCATCTTAGCAGAGCGGGGCAGGACAGTGCCCCATAAGCCACCGCAGTTAGGCAGCTAGTGAGGTGCTGAGAGCAGTTGGCTGGGGCTTCCTGGGGCCTGCAGGGAAAGAGGAATGGTCAGGGGGAGAGTAGATATCCCTGCAGGCATTCCTGGGAATAGGATCAGCCAGTCACTCCTCCCCCATCCAAGGCCACCGGTGCCCTGTCTAGGGGGCAGAGGCTCTGGCTGTCCCTTACCTCCATTCCTCAAAGACATGGGGCAGGGGCTCCCTATGCCACATGGAGGGTTGCCCCGGTCTGGCCACAGGACCATGCCAAGCAGGCATCAGCAAGCAGGACACTTGGGAAAGGAAATGGGGCTGGTCCCGGCCCAATTACCGAAAGTGGCCTCGACCGGAAAAAATACCTCTTCCCAAACCAGCAACTTGGAGTCCAAGACAAGGACGCTTCCCAGCCATAGGCTGGCTCCAGCGGGGCCCACCCTTCCCACCCCCAAGCACGGAGGTCAGGGATATAACCACAGTGTAGGAGTCTCCAGTAATTGCTGCCAACTGCCCTGCCCAGGCCCAGGAGGGCCATTGAGAAGGAGAGGGCGGTGGTCACCAGGTCATGTCAGCCAGCTGCCTGCTACCCACCCACTCTGTGCCCCTGCCAAGGGCATCCCAGCATGCCCAACGGTAAACATCACCTTACCTACCTCTGCATTTCCATTCCGTAGAATGTGACCCTGGCCCAGGGAGGAGGGGGCTTGCTCGGGCTTACTGAGAATTAGGGCCTTGGACTGGAACTAGGTCTCTTGCCTTGCATTCCAGAACTGGTTCAGATTGGATCTCTCACTTGCCTGTCAGAACATCCCTTTTTTTCTTTCTTCTATTCCCGCTGATATACAACCAAGCAATTTCCCTTAGAGATGGGCCCCTTGCCTCATTTAAAATGTTCCTGCCATTGATTCTTCCCCAAACCTGCACTCCTAGAAATCTGCCCTCAGGGTCCCTGCCTCCTTCTCATCCTGAGACCCCATGACCCTTCTCCTCCACCTCCCTCTGCAGGGGAAAGGGGCCCGGAGGGGTTGTAAATCAAAGGTTGACAGTTTCCTTGGCAGTCACAGAATGGGCCACCCACACAGCTCAGCACACCCCACCCCACCCCTGCCCCCTTACGCCCTCCATCCTCCATTCAGCTGAGAGGGACACATCAGT